TATATATATATATATATATATATGTATATATTCATCCATACAATGCTACAAACATTTCATTTGTAATTGTTCATAGAAATTATTTCTATTTTATGATAAAATCATACTTTGTGTTATTGGAAATAATGTTTAACACAATGCCTTCGCAACATCTTTTATGAAGTTTTGAGATGGTGTTAAGGAAGAACAATTTTCTTTTATTCTACTTCTCATGAGTATCCTAAATTATTAAATTAATAGCACATGCACGTGATTATAGTACGACTCAACTCATGACAATTTATTCACTTTTCTCATAAGCTAAGATGTTTGACAATTTATTCACTTTTCTCATTTTCTGTTGGAAGAATTATTTTGATATAGGCTTAAAGAATTATAAGAGAATCGAATATCTAGAGACTTAGTATGTTAACAACTTATGTGAATGCTTTTTTTTCAATAAAGATGAGTTAAAATGAACTCATATAGCATAATGTAAAATAATAAAATATCTTTTTTTGTGAATTCTTGTGTAAAATTTTTACTCAATTTTGCATGTTTACATTTTGCCTGTGACTCTTTATGTTTAAGTAAAGATTGCTTCCATAAAAATAAGCAGGATGATAATATTATATTTGATGAGTTGAATCCTCCTCTCAAAATTTTCATGTTATTACTCTTATGGGCTATTTGATCAATCTAAATTACGATGCTTTTAATGTTGTGCATTTATGTTACACAATGCATTCTAAATGATTTTTAAAATTATTGCATATGTTACCTATTGTAAATGTTTGGTCTTTTGACTATATCCATTACAAATATAAAAATTCATGAGCAGTTGAACCCTTTTTTTATTGCACAAATTATGATACTCTTACTATTGCAATTCCACATAGCAAAGCCTTCATGAATGGTTGGCAAAAATTCTGGCAACCAGTATGTTATCTGTTGCAATTATTTCTTCTTTGACATACAACAACTATGAATTATGAAAACAAAAGGCCAGCTAATTTTATTTTTCTATTGCGTTTTGTTTGATAAAACATTTTTAAGGGAAATATTTAATTATATTTAGCACCTACATAATATATCATATAATTTTATTATTTTTAATAAAGGTTACTGTTCACCTAAAACCACTTTAGCATGCTATGTACTTAATAACTCACCAACCCGCTCATGAATTGAATTCGATAGTTAAAATTTTATTATATATACCAATAAAGGACTTTCATAGGCCTATGCAAATGTTAGCAGAACTTGTGAGTCTAGAAAGCCCATCTTCTCCAAAACACAATCACCACTTGCTATCTGTCGAGGTGACATGTTGGCCTTACCAGTCGATGAACCAACTATCATACAGCTGCTGCAGTAGTGACATGTGAAGGTGACATGCTGATCTCTCAACAAATGTCCCTAGGATTAACCAACTGTCGACGTAAACATCATTATTAAAGAATGGATAGATTGCTATGTACATTTATGAGTCGTCTGATATCCACATTGCCAGCATTCAACTGGAGCATTATTTGAATCGAATTTAATAATTTTTATTCTATTTTCTTAATTAATACTTTTAATCGACGATTATAAATCGATTATAAATCTTTGTAGTCTTGTAGTCAATTAAATTTTAAAAAAATACTACTCACCAAAGATATATATATAATCGATTAGTAGTATTTCAAGCCGAAACGAGCCGACCACGAACAAACAAATATTTGCTTGTGTTGTTTGTGTTCGGCTCGTCAACTAAGCGAACAAGCCGAACACAAGCTTCTTAACGAGCCGAAGTTGAGATGTTCGCGAACAACGAGTCGTTTTGACAACCTTTTGGGATCTAGGGCATGGACAACGCAAATCCAATCTTTTTCAACACTTTCCCTTAGAGTCCCAAGGTTATGCAGAAATAGGGCTGTCAAAAAAGCTTGTTGCTCACGAACAACTTGTGTTCGGCTCGTTCATTAAATAAACGAGCCGAACACGAACAAGTTTTTAAATCTCGAATTATAAACGAGCTGAACACGAACAACTCTTTGTTCACTCGTGTTCGCCTCGTTTTAGCTCGAAATAAAAAAATTATATAATTATTTATATAAAAATATACTACACATATTATTTATATAATAATGTATTATATATATTTATATATAAGTTTAAAATGTAACTGTTCTTGTGGTAATGTGGTTATGTGTCTTGTTTTGCATACATTTGGTTCAGGTTCG